CAAAGCGTCTTGTCCTGATCATTCGGTGGCAGCCGTGCCCTTGCCCACGAACCACGTCAACCGCCCGAGCGGCCACCGCCGGCTCGCCTCATTTGCTGTGCGATCGTGCCCGAACTTCGCTGGCTCTTGACACAAGATCATGTGCAGGATGGTGTCCCATCTGTCTCCGTAAGCGTCAAGTTTCATGCGTTTTTGTTGCTTCTACGAACAAAATTTCATATCGCAAAAAATGTTGAAAAACAAAAACGCCCCAACGAAACCGCCAGGCAACATTAATCGACAGAAACCAGGGCTGGCTGGACGGGCGAGCGTCGGAGTGGCAGAGGTTCCTGCGGTGGGCGCACGCCAGCTACGGCTGGACGGAGGAGGTCATCGTGAAGAGGGCCGGTGAGATGATAGTCCGGGACTAGACAGAGAGTCGTTTGAGAGAGGTAAAGAAAAGAGTTAGGGACGGGGGCGGGCGGGCGGGCGGAAGGTCTCTTGTGCTGTTGGTTGAGGTATGCGTTACAGTGATCGTCACACAGAAGGCGGTCGATGAGTGAGAGGGGTCGGGGGGGCACGAGGGAAGAAAAGACCGCAATCGCCGGCGGCGGCGGTGCGCGGAGGGTGAGGCTTGTGTGCTGCTGTTTTTTCAAGCAGATGACCGATGACTTGACCGATTTTCCTTCCAAGATTGTGGAGAGAGAGAGAGAGAGAGAGAGAGAGAGAGAGAGAGAACAATTGAGGTAAGGGTGAAAGCGAGAGAGAGCTCAAAGGAGCAGATTTATTTCGAGAGAAGTACGCGTTGTTGGCGTGCGAGACTATCCGGTGAGATTTACACTGCTTATTGGCCCTGCTGCACTAAAGCAATGATATCACCCCGCCACGCCTCATCCCCGTGTACGTGGCAGGCTTCGCACCCGGCGAGTTGGAGGTTGTGGCTCTTTCTAGCGGCAAGTCTCGGAACCGGCCGATGGCCCCTACGTACGTCCTAGCGGTGGACCACGGTCGGAGGGAGATCGTGCTGTCGGTGAGAGGAACGAAGGCCTTTGGCGACGCCATCACCATCACGCACTTCCGCCCGGAGCCGTTTCTTGACGGGTGAGGGGGCTCCGTGGAATGTGGTGCGGTCGGGCCCTTTGTTCTCTCTCTCTCTCTCTCTCTCTCTCTCTCTCTCTCTCTCTCTCTCTCGCTTAGTTGGTGTTGGTCTGTACTTGCCGACGCGCTGACGTTGACTGTGTGTGTGAGAACGTGGTGCTTACCTCACTTACCATGCTACCCTCTTCACCCTCTCGTTTGACAATGACAAACGCCGGCGACAGCTACGCCCACAGAGGATTTGCCCAAAGCGCCCACGAGCTGGTGAAGCAGGTGGAGCCGGAGCTCACGTCCCTCGCGGAGCGCCTGCCCGACTACCGGTAAGATTTTTCATTTTCATCCTTGTTTGTTTCCAACACTGCCTGCCTTCTGCTATTGGTTTGTACAGACACGCCGTTTCGTGCTCTTCCAACCGGAACGTACCGAACGCCTGGCCTTTGCAGAAGAGCCTGTTGTGCTCCATGGTGTTTGGTAGCTCTGTACGCGGCGTCGGTACTTGCTTTAAAGTAGGGGCTCTCCTCTGTTTTTTTTTTCTTTTTTTTCGCGCGACCCCCTTTCCCTGTCGGCTATAAACTGCCTTTCGGCAGGCAAGCGCCGATTTTCGTATGTCTCTTTTTTCTTTTTTGTGTGTGTGCGTCTTGTCTGTTTCTCTCGGCGTGTGTTTTGGCAGCGTGTGTTTCACCGGGCATAGCATGGGCGGCGGGATCGCGGCGATGGCTTCGATGCTCATCAGGGACAGCGCCACTCGCCGGCTACAGCAGCAGCAGCACCAGCACCAGCATGGACACCAGGGTGAGGAGCCTCCGTCGACCGCACGAAAGAGGGCGAGCAGCAGCACTAACTTGGACCACCGGGGGAGCCGCAAGAGGAGGGGCACCGCGGCCGGTGGCGGAAAAATTTCGGCGGGGGCGGGGCTGGGGGGTTCGGGGGGGCCGGAGGTGTACTCGTTCGCCACGCCGTCGTGCGTGTCGCTCGAGCTAGCGCGCGGTTGCGAGGGGTGGGTAGATTCGGTGGTGCACGGAGACGATGCGATCCCTCGCCTTAGCACCGTCTCCCTCGAGCTGCTCAAGGAAGACATGACGGGTGAGCAGAGGGGGAAATGAGTTGGCAAAAGTGGGGACTCTAGTTTTAGAGGGGTAGGTAAGGGTCGGTGGGTTTGGTGCTTTGCTTACGGGTGAACGGAGTGTTGGTTTCATCCGTTTGTGTGCGTAGTGTGAGCGCGTTGACTTGCTTTTTTCTTGCTGGGGTGCGCTTCCGGATGGCATTGTGTGTGCGACTGTCTGTGGTTTGCGTTGACGAGCGTTACACTTTAGCAGGATTATGCTTCCGGATGGCTTTTTTATATGTTGGGGCATGCGTTGTCCGCCTACCCCCCTTAAGCTTGATGATCATGATCGCAGACTAAGAACTCAGGCAGCGTAGTTCGTGTAGCGTTGACACGGCGAGGCGAGAATGCAATCCTTCCCTCAACCGCACTCGACGCCGATTCACTATCCGGACGCAGAAAGCGGGGATTATCTCCAGTATTAGTAGCAGCGCCTTCGCGCCCCATTCTTGGCAAACACACGCAGGACGCACACATATCTAACAACGCGTGCCCCTTTTACATCCCCTCCGCCGGCGGCGTCAGCCGCGGAATGGCGGCGGGCGGTAGACCGCTTGACCGACCTCAACACGGTCCTCTCCCCTTCCACCAAAGCGGCGGCGGCGGCGGCGACAGCCATCAAGAACGCGCTCACTGGGCTCGGCGCTCGACGCGGGGTACAGCGCCCCGCCAGTAGTGCCGGCGGCGGCGGTGGTAGCGGCGATGATGGGCGGACGAATCACAGCGCAGCGGCTGATAGCATCCACGGTGGTGGCGATGGCGATGGTAGCGGCGGCTGCGAGCGGGCGAACCGCGGCGAAGCGGATGGTGGCGGCGGTGGTGGCGGTGGTGGCGATGCCGAGTTCGTGAGCAGCCTAGAAGGATGGAGAGAAGAAAGCAGCACGCCGCCACCGAGCGGAGCGAGGGTAAGGTCGGCGCCGGCGGCGGCCGCGACCGCCGCAGCAGAGCCGAAGGTCACGAGGCGACAGGGGCCTGCCTCTGCTGCTGCTCCTTATCGTGCTGCTGGTGGTACGGCGGAGGAGGCGTTACCTACGAGGGAGGTGAGGAAAGGGGAGACGGACCGCTATGCGGGCGACAGCGGCGGCGGTAGCAAGGACGGGGCCGAGCCTGAAAGAAACGACGAGGAAAAGAAGAGGGATAACGACAGGAAGAGAGACGACCTCGGGAGGTCTGTCCGAGACACGGCTTTGACCATGAGAGGCTTGGCTAAGCTCTACCCGCTTTCACAGTCGTTCAGGTAATACTGTAGCAGGTTTATTTTTGTGCCGTATCATGGTTGTTTCTTTGTTTTGTGGACGTGTTTGTTGTGCTACCTGTATTGTGGGATTTTGGTTGCTTTTGAAAAGCGTTTCGTTTTTTGCGGTGATGGTTTCGCACGCTTTGGGGACAAATGGATGGCCTCGGCACGAGAAAGGGTAAAACAGACAAGAAGATGCCCCCTGCGTGCAGGAGTGTAAACCGCGCTTTCTGCCGTGTACCTCTCTTCCCTTCCGCGTACACGTATGTAGCTGCGTGTACACCAGCGCTCGTAGAGCGAGTTACGCCTTTCAGATCAATGCATCTCAGCCCTATACATCTGCTCTTCCCACCCACCCTCCTTCCTATACGGGATACCAACCTCTCGACACAGATGCTTGGTCCAACGCCACCTAGGCGAGCATCAATGAATGAGTACCCCGCCTCTTTGGCGAAGTAGGAAGGAACCATTGGCCGTCGGTGATCGACAAGTCCTGTGGGAACAATGCTCCGTCCTATTGGGGCCGCGTGTGGTAAATGGTCTAAACAGCTACAGCATGCAAAAACATGAGCCCTGCCCCCCCCCCCCGAATCATTAACATTCGTTCACCCGGATTATTGCGTGCTTGCAGGCAGGAAATAGCCACCATCGTGACCCAGGTCGTGAAGCTCACTGGGGGAGAGACAGGCGAAGGCGCCGGCGCAATCAAGCCGAAAGAGAGACGCGTTCGCCGTGCCGAAAACAATAGCGGCAGCGGCGGCAGAAGCGGCGACCTCCAACGCCAACAGGCAGAGCAAGCAGGGACGGGCACCAACGGTGGTGATGTCCGCAACAGCGGCGGCTCGGCGGCGGCGGGTGCGCGCGCGCGGGGGGGGGGGGCGGAGGCGGAATCACCCGTCGGAACCGAGCTCCTCTTGACGCTCAAGGAGAACCTGGAAAGTCTAGGAGCGAGCCGGGGGGCACTAAAACAGGATAACGCCGCTCTTGGCGGCGGCGGCGGCGGCAGCGGCAGCGGTGGCGGGAGCGGCGGCAGCGGACGTGTGCGAAACGGAGACGAAAATAGGTCTGGGGGGCGGCGGCGACAGCATCAGCCCAGCGCTAGCGCTGCCGGTGGTTCTGCGGCTGCCGCATCTCTGGCCACAAGAGGCCCCGGTGCTGCGGTCACGAAGAGCCGCGGGAGTGACGTCACCGCTGCTACCGACCGAGACGCCAACGTGGGCGCTGACGACGACCGATTACGCTGCCTCCACGAGGCCTTCTCGGCGAGGCCGGAGCCGTCGCTTCTTCCTCTCTATCCCCCGGGGGGTGCGTTCCTTGTCTCCAGCCGCAGCAGCAGCAGCAGCAGCAGCAGCAGCAGCAGCAGCAGCAGCAGCAGCAACATATCTGCGGAGGGCGGCAGCGTAGGCCACGCCGGCGGCGACGGCGGCGGAATCGAGGCCGATGTGTCTGAAGGGACACCAATTGCCGCGAGCGATGCTGCCACGGCCGCAACAACTGGCTCCTGTTCCGAGGAGCGCGACGGGAGCGGCCAGGCTAGCGGCGACACCCAACAGATGGTAACCACCACCACCGGTGCCTCTGCCGCTGCTGCCGCCGCCGGGGAGGACGGTGTTGTGCTTATGCGAGTGCCCCATGAGCACTTTCTGCGGATGCCCCTCAGCCCGACCATGCTGGAAGACCACTCTATCCTTTCTTACCGGAAGGCCCTTGCCGGTCTGTCGAGGAACCCGTCGACCGGAAGACTGGGGCAGCCAGAGTAACGAAACGAAAACAATCGGGGGGGTTTGCTGCTGCTCTCTCTCTCTCTCTCTCTCTCTCTCTCTCTTTTTGCGGGGGGTGAAGCAGGTCGACTTCTTGTCACCTCACCCTCCTCCTCCGAGCTAAAGTTTTGGGAGATTCAGGTGCATGCCGGTGATGGCATGTGCCAAGCAACTGATCCGGTGCGTGTTGTTCTGCATCGTGTTTGCCGCTTCCTTTTTTTTTTTTTTGTGAAGTAGGTAGTAGTCCGAGTTTTTGTCACCACACCCTCCTCCGGGCTGAAGTTTTGGGAGATTCAGTGGAGTTTTGGGAGATTTTGGGTACAACCTGGTTGTTGTATGTGCCAAACAGCCGAAAGGGTGCGTTGCGGTTTGCATCGTGTTTGCACGGCGTGTTCCCGGGGGAGTTGTTGAACCGACCGTGCTACAGGAATATTAATATTTCCGAAAATGAATGTTCATATTTCGAATAGGGTAGCGTTTGGGCGGGGGCAATGAAGCTCTAGAGTTATTTAGAAAGATCTGTGGCGCGTGGGGGGGGGGACGCGGTAGAAAAAGTGCTTGTATTTATGAAGTACGGCGTAGATCTCCCGGCGGGGGCAATGAAGCTCTAGAGGTATTTAGAAAGATCTGTAGCGCGTGGGGGGGGGGACGCGGTAGAAAAAGTGCTTGTATTTATGGAGTACTGCGTAGATCTCCATGCGGCTTGTGTGTATGCTATGTGCATGTCGATTTCCTTTATTCCCCCCCCAAAGTGTTTGGTCCATCCGTGCCCTCCTGTTTTTTTCGTGGGTAGGGAGGTTCGACGCTAACCAGTGCTTACCACAACGAGCCGGGCCAAAAGCTCTTGTTTGTTGCTGTTTAATCGACGGAAAGACGCACGATAAAAAAGAGGGGATACATGGATGGGCGGCAAGGCGGGCGGGTGGTATGTGATGCATGCCACACCGAGCCCTCGAGGGTAGCGTCCCGGGAACACAAAAAATTAAACCTACCTGGTACATACAGAGCATGCGTCCTAGCGCTGACAACTTTTGAGAATCGCTGCTGCTTTAACAACAACGCGGGTACTCGGTGCTTGAACAGGTCCAATTGGTTTGTCGCGAACAACCAGTGGTTGCACCCCGAGCAGCGAGACAGAAGTTGGTAGGTCTTTAGGCGGGGGAATAATGATCAAGTTTGTTTTTGCGCGCAAACCTGCTTCATAGGGAGGGGTGTGTGCGCGCGGTATGGATTTTGTTGCTTTGGTACGTGGCGGTTTTGGATGAGTCTCCCCTTCACCAAAAAGAGTTGCGTCGTAGTAGCTTACGCCCTTGCGGTGCCTCACGGCAACAGCGTTACTCTTGTTTACTGCGCCGCGCGGATTGCGAGTGTGGTGAGTACAACATTACAACAGTGTCCGCACCGCCACCAGCAAATTCAAGAACCCATTCTCAGCCCGATGCTCCTACCCGTTAGTATTTCTGTGGGGGTAACCCAGCATCGACGTGACATAGGCCTAAGTCGCAAACAAAATGCTGCTGTCGGTGTCATAAATCGCCAGTTGGCATCTCTGTGAAAATTCCCAAGGTGTCGTTTTCGGCGGCCGGACTGTCGAAGGACCGCCAGCACCCGCCGTGCTGCCCGCGGATCTTGTCGGCTGTTCCATTTTGTCACGGCACAACAACGGCAGTAACCACGACTTTGTACCCATCCGCCCACAGCGCCAGGATTGTGCTTTGCTTGAGCTGTGAGCAGTGATCCCCCTGCGCGCCCAAGGACACACGAAAAAATATCATCAAGAAACAGCTGCCCACCCACTCGCGTGTGTCTGCGCCGATAAGCAACAACCCTCAAGGCGATTTCGCCGGTAGTTAGAGAATGCTTGTCGCTCGTCCCCGAAAACATCGTCATGTGCGATCCCGACGGTTCATGCACCACTTGCGCCCTTTCCGTGCTGCACACGTTAAGCGACCGCAGCTTTCGTTTTCACTGACTGGAAGCAGACCTCTGTTCTTGCTAGATAGAAGGCAGGTCAACGCGAACAAGCTCAGAGAGAATTCTCCCCCGCCATTGGGTAGTGGTCCTTCTGTCATGGTGTGTTGTTTTTTACCTGATACATTAAAAGCTCTTGGAGAAATGCAAAAATATATATTGTACAGTAAAACTCGCCGCCAAGAAGTAGACAGGACCAAAGAGGGCACGAGCCACAAAATGACACCAAACCTTGTGGGGGGGGGGGGGGAGGGCACCGTGCCAAGACTCTCGCAACGAAAACACAGAACAATACTCTCGGCACCGCATCGCTTGCTAACGCGATCATGACAAAACACAAAATAATAAAAACAATCGAGAAAACACCAACATGACAACTAAAATCATCACCATAACAGTAGCTCCGTAGGCGTTACGCAGGGAAACAGGGGGAGTCACGCAGATGCAGAACTTGTCCCAGCCAGTTTGGGCACGCGGGCGCAAGAATGGAAACAAGCACAAAAGGTGGGATTGTCAACAACCCGGCGCAGGCAGCACATCAAGACCAAAGAACGCATTTCCGAGGATCTTCGGTCACCTCTGAATAACAGCTTCGCCGCAAGTTTTTTTTCACCAATCAGAGAACTGCGTGCCACCTTTTCCCCAACTCGCATTTACATGAATGATACTTCCAGCAACGCTAGAGTACTTCCAGAGAGATTTTCCGTGCTTCCGTCTGCACATTTCCTAACAAGTAAGCGTACCTCGGTGTGTACCGGGACCCTCGTGGCCTTCGGGGGTCCTGTACATGGTGTACTCGCAGGTGGGTTTTTGCCCAAACCGCGAACCGAAGTCGACCGAAAAAACGCAAACAGACGGCGACGAAACCCGAAAGGCCCCGTAGCATACAACAAACCAACAAGCGCACAAAACGCAGCCGTGCGCCAACAAACCAAAACAGCCTAATAGTGGAGGGGGACGCACGGCAAGGAGAAAACAATGCACACCATAGCAAGCGGTGGTCGCAGCAAAGCGGTTCCCGATGAACGCCGCCTTCTACACAGGAGGCCAATCCGCCAAAAACTAAATCATGCCAAAGATCTTCACATGACATGTTCCTGCCCTCCCCACATTCACACCCTGATTTTCACCGTTCATCCATCGCCGGCGCTACGCATTTCGAGGTTGTTGCAATAGTAGCCCCGACGCATATACATATATCGACCAAGAGGCAACGGCGCTTCCACCGTCGACACGGCACACCCCGACATTCAGTAGACCGCACGGGAGGCCGCGAGCACAGCACCACACCCTTTCCCATTCTCCCCGCCCGATTTCGCGGAGCCAGGAAGAACTACGTCCGTGCCAAGGAGCTTTCTAAAGATGCTCCGTTTTCGAAAACGGAATGCGCGGCCCAACGTTCGAATGGCACCTGGACACGCTGCGCAAGCGTGTACGTCCCCAGCCCTCACCCACATCCCCCGGTTTTCCCAACCAAGCAACCAAACCTAGCAAGGCTGCGGCTAAACCCACTGCGACGGCAACAGCCTCTTTCCCTACCACACCCCACGGTTACACAGTAAGAGTAAACGTAGGCAAGGCTTTCGCCTTCACCCCCCAACAGCAACATCCCTCTCTTGTCTCTCTGTGCCTGTCCCTTCTTCTCTCTTGTCTCTTGTGTGTTTGCCTGCCCGTCTCTCTTTCTCTCTCTCTCTCTCTCCTCGTCCTAGTATCCCTGGGGCAGAACCATCGAAACGCCGTCCCTCCCGCCGAGCGACATCATCTCGAACGAGTTCTCTGGTCGCTGCACCTCCCGGTACCCCATCCCTTCCCTCGCTCTCCGCGCCTTGCACATGCTGTAGACGGACGAGAAGGCCACCATGCTCAGGAGGAAGCACACCAGAGAGATCGCCAGCGCCTGGTCGGTCGATGGATGGGTGGGAAGCAGGCGTGGTTAAACCAAAAAGTACTTGTTTGTTCGATGCTGGAACGTGCTCGATCGTTTTTGACATCTTTGCGACCAATTGGCGGCAACAAGAAACGCGCGGCCGATGGGCCGGGCGGTCGCTGCGATGTTTTTCTTTTTAAGGGGGGCACACGGTCGGGGGTCAAAGATTGGCACGGGCCAAGGAATCAGAAAAAAAAGACGACGCAATCACGCACACGCGCATCGTCACCACACTACTGCTGTAACATTCTTCCACACCCACTAAAAACTGCCCGTCTTTGTCACACCAGTGTGGCAAAATGTGACCCGGGATTTATCGAAATATTTCGACGTCCTTTTGGTTCTTCGTGTGATCGCATCGTGCGGGTACCCCGATTCCGGCGGGTCGGTGGAAAAGCCGCATGGACATACAATGCATACAACATTCTTGGCGCACCCCAGCGCGGTAACTACTGATACTGTTGCCATGGCCGTTCTTCCGCATGCATATTTTACTATCCCGGTCTTCAGGACGGTGGCCGTGGGGCTGACAGGGAGGGGCAGCATGAAGGGGGGGGGGCGCAACGGACGATGACCGTGGGAAGGCGGGCGCCCCCCCCCCCCTTT